GATAGCATTCTCATAGGGATTAATCCGTTTTTTATGTTTCTTAATATGTCATTTATCTTCAGCTTTCAGGAATTTAAAAGGTCATGAAAGATTGAGAGTTCTGTTCTTTTCTGGTAGTGTAAACATTTGTCAAACAATAGAATAAATTTTAACACAAACGAAGAATACGCTTACATGAATTTTATGTATGAGTTCACTAATTTCGTGGTACGCTTGACCAATTAATAACATTCAATTAATTAAGGTTATTAAGTTGAGATAAAAAAGTCAGTGGCACTAGCGGGATTCGAACCCACGACCTTCGACTTGATACGCCGCTACTCTACCACTTGAGCTACCGTGACTTCGATTCCCTCGGGCACTAACTTCCCATCTCAACCCCACCTTATGAGTTTTCCCTCCTTTTTGCCATTTTTCAATCCGATTACACGACATTTGAAAAATGGCAAAAAGGAGGGAATACTCATAAGGTGGGGTTGAGATGGGAAGTTGATGTCCGAGTGGATCGAGGTCACGATAGCCCAAGTGGTAGATCAGCGGCGTATCTAGCCGAAGATCGTGGGTTCGAATCCCGCTCGTGCCATTAACTTTTTTTCATCTCAACTAAAAACCGTAATTAATTGTAATTTATGTATGAGTTTCCTGAAAAAATGTCAAATTCTAATAACGAAATCTTCTTTCTCAGTCTCTCTTTCTCTCTCTCTCTCTTTCTCTCTCTCTCTCTCTCTCTCTCTCTCTCTCTCTCTCTCTCTGGTGCTCATTCTTTATCTATCAATAGAATGGGATATTTTATTTCACTATTGTAAAAGTTTCTCAGCTATTTGTCTGACACCCATTTCTGTAGAATCGCATTGATGAACAAACTGACTAATCCCAAAAGGCAAATTTTAACTATAAAATGAGGATGTTTTCACTGCGAGCCAAAAGTAATTTCAGTTCTACAACCGAATCTCAGTCCATTGAAATTGAATTTACTGTAGGATTAACATTTTTGAGATACGAGCGATTAAATAAAACACATCAAGAATGGTTGAAGTACCTATTTTGATGTGTTTGATATTACAATTAGTTATTAGACTTAATACAATGTGGGTAAACAATCCCCCTATCTTTAATATAAAGTTTGACGTAATCAGAAAAGTGAAATATCTCCAATATAATTGAGAATCAGACAGTATAATTTAAACTGTAGGATGACCTGAAGTATTGACATCTGGAAACTTAAAACACTGAATATTCGGTTATTTAGTTTACAGGAGTAGTCTTGCCAGTGTAACTCTTAAGGTCATCTTGTTGTTATTACAATATTTTAAAAGGAATTCTTTTTATAAATAGACTTACCGTGTCGCCTCGAAGAAATGTTCTTTTATGGCCATCCCAATCCAAATATGACGAAGGAGGTCAATACATCCCAAAAGGAGTGAACACGATACGTGGGCTTAGATTGTCCCAGGATAAATTTAAGCTTGAAGGCTCTTCTGGAATAACACGAAATCGATCCTCATTAGTAAAACGACAACGGTCACAATTTGGAGTGGTGACAGAACGCCCATCGGGATGCGTTCCACAGCCTATTGGCCGTTGACATCTTACAGAATGATCCTCCACAGGACATTAGAATCATATATTCCCAAAAGTTTCTGAGGTAAGAGTAAATTTGTTTTCTTGAAGATATTACAAATATTTTTTAATTTATTTACACACAAAAAAGCCGGTTTAAATCTTCTGATTTGACCCTTAACACCCTTTAAGATAAAATTCCCTATTCGGGATTGCTATTTTCTGATCCTCGATGAAATTTACTGTGTGTTGTCAAACGAAGAATAAATTTAGAACCGACTCTTTTCACTTTCAAAACACACTTTGGAAATTTCGATGAGAACGTTCAAAAATTTATAGCGGCAACATGTTGCCAAATAATAATTTTAACATTGACGCGTATTTAGGGTCTCCTATTATTTTCGATTCTAGTTAAAATGTATTTACAGACGCTTTGGGAAGCACAAGAAAAGGTAAATATGTTAAAAATATATTTTAACTAAAAGATTTTGACATACCTTCATTGTAACTAGGTACAAGGAGAAACCTCTAGATAGTACGATAAAAGTATAATAGATAATAGTAATACTTAAACATAAAAACTTACTATTATCAAATGGTAAGGACGAGCCATTTCATCGGAACTTTCTGTGCAACTTATACAAAAATGCACGTTTATTAAACCTGTCTTTTCCATAAATCTGACAATTTTTATATAATTTTAATAAGAAACATGGTCAACCATCATCCTTGAGATTTTTTTATTGTAATGGGATTCTGACAAACAATGGGGACGTTATTGACGTAAACAATCATTGTGATAGTTATATTGAAATGTTCATTGGTTTTTAACCTTCAATGACGATTATAGCAGGATTCGTAAGCTGTATGAGTAATCGCTGTAAATTTACACTGTTTCCTGTCTTGTTAGAAAGTGTTAGTTCTATATTACAATGTGTTCTTTTTGCGTCTTTTGCGTTTGTTTATTTATTGGGGGTCTTATCAGCAATTGTTTTCACTTTTATCTTTAGATTATCATAGAAATAAGTACAACTTTGCCTTTTGTACAGGCACACTGCATAAATCCATTTCTATAAATGTCTTGTAAGTTTTACCACTGAACTGGCCAAAAATCCATTAAAAACTTGCAAAAACTGCTAATTAATATACAGAGAAGTATGCTGCAAAAATGTAGAAAATGAAAATCACCAAGGTTTCAAAAGATAGAATTAGAGAGTTGCGCCTTGACCAACGTGAATCAATTTTATGACTTACACAAATGGGGAAAAAATTAAAACTACGAGTTGAGGAAATTCCTTTCTAGTCTCTCCTTGGATGGGGCGAAAAATTTTTCGTCGTCTAACAGGTTTTGTGCACCGGGCGACCTTTCCTTTGGTCGCGCTTAGCCGGAGTGATTCACGAGAATCGACCATGTTCCATCAAAATTCTAATTTATCGGCAATACTGGGCAAAAGACCTCATGAAGTGGACTTCCAGTTTTTAGCCTCTTTCATCTAGGGATTTATTTTGCCCAAAAACAATAAAAATTCCATATTGATGAAGTTATGGAATTTCGAGCAAGAAGAACTGTCGTCGAGTGGACTTCACATTGCAGCATGCTTTTTTTCTTTAATATTTGACTTTCATAAGTACGTGATATTTGACTAATTTTCAGTGAGATACAGTAAGCATAAATAGCGTGATTGGTCATTAAACTTTTCAGTTACAACAGAAAAATATGTACGTTGAAAAATACAAAGTTTTTTACTTGCTTTGCGACAACTTTAATGATTCCAGCTATATTTTGTCCTCAATCGACCGATATTTACGGTTTACATAAAATTCTTAAATGGTGCCGTTTTAGAAATCATCCATTTTACTGACACGAGTCGTAGATATGCAAACCGGTCGTGAAGTCGCTCGTTTTACATCCGTTGCATTTACAGGGTGTCGCAATCTGTCTCTCACGAACCTAAGAACCGTGCGGAAACTGGAAATCTCGCTAACCCCTTTGTAAAATGTGCCTCGGCCCCGTTTGCAACTCACACCGACTAATAGTGAGAACCGTCGGTTTGGCAGACCAGTGAAAAAGGATTTTCTGGGTCCCACAAGAATGCGAAATTTCCTGCCCAACCCGACACCTTTTTCCGTTTGTTACGATGAGTTGGACAATTTTCTACCACTTTTACTTTCGTTTTTAAGCAAGGGTCCGGATTAATTTAGTGAGAGATACTACGTCAGTACGTGTAGGAAGGCAGAGCTCAAGGGAAACCGGGGTCCCGTTCAAGCGTCCTCCAGAGACCACGACACGGAAACCATTCGTTAATAGGAAGTCTGTATTACGAATCAAATTAAAGCTATTACACCCGGTTCCAAAATCAAAAAAGTAAATTCTCGCATAAATTTTGTATTTTAAAACATGACTTTCATTTCCTTCTAGAGACTTATTCATACGACTTCATCGAAGCTCATTGATAATCCAATTGTCATAAGTCATTTACGGTCTAATGTTTTCGAGACAGCATTTAATAATGTTTGTAGCTCATGTACAATAATAGTTATATATATACAGGGTGTTTGGCTAGTCGTGTTACAAACTTTGCCAGTACATTCTACATTCAAAATGAGACCAAAAAGTCCTAATGAACTATGGTCCGAATCTCAACAGTTGCGGAGTTATTTCACTTTTTGTCATTTTTTAAGATTTCACGACCTTGCTTCAAATAAACAATGATAATTCCAAAACTAAGTTAAATAAGCGTTTTAGTAGCGAGAACTTTGAAAAAAAAAATTTTTTCAAACTTTAAAAACATACTATAGTGATTCTCAACTAGTATTTCCAATCCTCAAGATATCACAGTAATGATAATTCTTTACTTTTTATTAAGAGACGTAAAAATTACGTATCTCTATTGTCTTTGGCAAGAATAAAACACTTTTTTTATTAATTGTAGCATTATCATGTTGATATTACACGTTTTATGTTTTCCTATCTTTTAAAGTCAATAGATAATATATGCATATCTAATCAGTCATTTCAATAGATATAGTCCATCAATTAAAATAATAAATAAATAAATAATTCGTAGGTTGAAAAAGTAGGAGATTTCCTTTCGGAAAAACAATATTTGGAACAGGTTTTTCGAATAACTTGAGAAAGTTGCTTCAAATTAACAAAACAGTTTAAATGTTGAATTCAGGGTCAACAATGAGTGAGTATATAGAGTTTGCCTTTCCAAATCAAAGAATTTATTTATTCTTCACAACAAACAAACCAACTTTGCTCCAATCACAGAAACAAACATTTTTTTAATTGGCTCAAAATCTTACGCCTATACATTGTTGAAGTAATAAGGCTTAGATGAAATGAAATGCTTTTATTAAACTTTTATGTTACCAAAATGTTCATTTATTTCTTTGTTCAGAAGTCATTTGTTTTTGTTTTTTATCATGTCGGTAAATAGCGAGAAAAGGGTTGGTTTAATAAATAAAAGTTTTTGGTAGAAATTAAATACCAATACCGGGTAAAGTGTGAGTGGTTTAAAAGCGTACAAACAACCACCTTATTATTGCTGTCTGAGTGAGACGATTTGAAGGCTATGTGATTTCCCAAGTCGCCCGTGACAAAGGTTGAATAATATTTCTGTAAACCTGAGAATTTAAGAGAATGGAATTAATAACCACTATTATGTCCCTGAATTAGTTTAACCGAGTGGTTATCGGTTGATATTAAAATGACATGGGATCTCTAGTTGTTTAACTAACCGTGAACAGATTGTTGCATTAGATAGTTATAGATCTCAAGTAATAAAAGTTTCCTTTGGTGTTCCCCAAGGTGATCATCTCTCTCCACTCTTATTTAATATTTTGACGACCTTCCTTCCATTCTAAAATACTCATCTCCTCTTCCCTGCTGATGACTTAAAATTGTTACAGCCTATTGCATTACTGTTTTCTTCTTCAATTCGACTTGTATTGTTTGTACGACTAGTCTTTCGACAATCACTTATTTCTTAAAATAAAAAATGTTATGAGTTGACACTAGACTAAAACCTCTTATAACTTCACTTACTTTATTAATAATTTTCAATTAATTAATCTTAAAATTAAGGTTTTGGTTGAGATAAAAAAGTCAGTGTCACAAGCGGGATTCGAACCCACGACCTTCGGATAAATTACGCCGCTGCTCTACCACTTGAGCTATCGTGACTTCGATTCACTCGGACACTAACTTCACATTTCAACCCCACCTTTTGAATTTTACCTCCTTTTGCCTCAAAGGGTGGGGCTGAGATGGGAAGTTAGTGTCCGAGTGGATCGAAGTCACGATAGCTCAAGTGGTAGGGCAGCGGCGTATTTAGCCGAAGGTCGTGGGTTCGAATCCCGCTTGTGACACTGACTTTTTTATCTCAACCGAAACCTTAATTAAAAGATTAAATAATTGAAAAGAATTTATTTGGTCAAGCGGACCACGAAATCTAATAAATTTATTAATAATACTGATTTTGCATCGAAATTCACTTACTTTATTAATAGTACTGATTTTTCTTTGAAAACCTTTACTAATCAACCTAGGTTTTATTTCCAATCACAAATTAAACTTTACTGCCAACATTGGTCATAATAAATCGTCCAACCTAAAAATAGAAGGTTTTGTTACTCATCTGATAACGACCCTAAAGCCTTGAATACTCCTTACATATCGCTAATAAGATCAATGCTTGAACACTCGCCAGTTTGAAATCCCTACACTGCTAAATGTATTCAAAAATTCCAATCTGTACAATTTGGATGTCTCATAATCCTTGCTTAAAAAATAGGAGTAACGATTATTCGGAGATCGTGAGATCGGTCTGGTGTGACGTAGGTTTTAGATAAACATTTTCTTTATCGCGTCAACGTTTCGATCTTTATTGAGATCATCTTCAGGGCCTGGGATTTACAAACATTGTTTAAATTTAGCAAATACGTGTAGGATGTGGAAATAAAATGAATTTATACAATGCAAACAAAAAAATTTTTATTCAATCAAATTATTTGTACTCACTCAAAGTGAAGACGGGATAGAAAGAGACTTTTATATGAGGAGTCGGCTTCTTTGAGGTGAAAAGAGCCAAAACTGGGGAAAAACGTGGGTAATGGTTCGGCCTGATTATCCTTTCAGGATTATATAAACGGGGATAATTAGGGAAAGGAAGCAAATTGTTGAAGAATTAGACTATGTCGAAATGTTTGATGTTTGGAATGGGATGATTGTTTTATATGTTATATTATATGTTTTGTGTGATGGGATGATGTTATATGTATGCTATCGATATTGAATTTGATAAATGATATTAACGTAGCCGCGACTGAGTTTACATGGTCTGTTCTGTAATTGATGCTGTGTTTATCTCTGTTGAAGTAAATCATTTCTAAAAAGTTACGTTTATGTTTGTTTTGTTCTGTGTGTAATATTTTTGGATTGTTGAAGTCGAAATTGTGTTTGTGTTCAAAATGGTGGGTAGCGAGTGCTGTAGGATTTTGCTTGGTTTTTTGCAATCATAGATATGTTGCTTTACTGTCTTATCCAGATATTGGGATGTAAGAAGTAATGGATGCTGAGAGATAAACACAGCATCAATTACAGAACAGACACATGTAAACTCAGTCGCAGCTACGTTAATACCATTTATCAAATTCAATATCGATAGCATACACCATTACGCATTTTTTCCTATTGTCGGCTCGTTCCATCTCAAAAAGCCGACTCCTCATATAAAAATGTCTTTCTATCCCGACCCCTTTCCCACCCCTTCAAAATGCAACGTATATAAACATAAAACAGCTATATCTCACTGGCACTCTCAACACGACACACAAGAATGACACAATTACGCAGAAAAATACTTTGAGTGAGTACAAATACTTTGATTGAATAAAAAAATTTTGTTTCCATTGTATAAATTCATTTTTTTACACATCCTACATGTATTTGTTAAATGTAAACAATGTTTGTAAATCCCAGGCCCTGAAGATGATCTCAATAAAGATCGAAACGTTGGCACGATAAAGAAAATGTTTTTCTAAAACCTACGTCACACCAGACCGCATCTCACGATCTCCGAATAATCATTGACTAACGTTTACTAAACATCACACATTTCTACACGAAATAGGAGTAACATTACTCAATGTAGGCAATTTGAACAATTTCATCAAATTTACTTCATCAAGACACGTCTAGACTTCACTTTGAGTTTCTTTCGACAGTTCTGTACCGAGTTACTTGGCCATGCATAATACGCTATTTTATATTTCTTACCATTCTACTAACTTTAGTAAATATATTCCTCTGGACAGAATTATGCGTTTCGTCAATAATTTTCGTCATGTTCCTATACATAACTCTTCTCTTTCTACATTCCATTGATAGGTTCACAGGGTAAGTTATGTCTTGTATTATTGTGCTTATTTTAAGTTACATTTTTCATATGATTTCAAAACTATAAAATATAAATTACTTAATTTCACTTCGTTTACATTAGAGTTGTTGTTTTGGAATCTATATCTATATGAAATATAATGATTCAATCTGTGTACTATAAAAAGTTTAATTAATAAATAAAACATGCCACTTATATCAAAACGCATCCTCATCGGATGTGCCGTCAGGAGTGACACAAATCGCGTGAAAACAAAATACCGTTGATCTACCTTGAACTTCTCTAGACTGCCCAGAAATAATTATTAAAAAGGCAAGATGAAGATGTCTGCTCGAACAGCCCTGACCTTTCGAAAAAGAATGTATTCTAAAATACATAATCAATGGTATTCGGTACGAATAAAATTTCATCCTTAGGCAAGCAATGTTTTATCTGATAGTGGTACTGCATATCTAAGTATATGTATCTGACGTAATAATAAGTTACCATTATGGAAGTTATATATCAAGCTGACTTTTTCACCTGATTTATTTTTATCAGTCGTGGCTAAACGTATTGGTCGGCAATTAAAAGTATTTGTAACAAAATTTTTCGAAATGAGCATATGTTTTATTTGCCATATCATCTTATAAATAGCGCGCGCATACATTGGTTTTTCTTTTTATTAGAATCAAAAAAACCACCCCAATGGACAAAACGTCTTACTTCAGGTTTGTTGGGGACGCTGTGTTTCTACTGGTGGCGATTTTGCTGAGTATCACAGTGAGTTATTTAGTAAAGTTTCAACCAAGGGGGATAAATTGTGCTGACATGTCGATTCAGAAGAAATACAAGCCCCCAGTTATATCCGAATTGTATTTGAACTTAGCTTTTTGTTTATTTCCCTTCATTTTTCTTATTGTATGCGAATTCGCCGTGTTCCCATGGAGGGGTAAAAAAGATACAAAGTGGAAAGCCTTAATGAAAATATACACTACTATAACAGTTTTTACTTTCGGCATGTTTGCCCTATCAGCGTTTGTGACCTTTCTGCAGGTGTTTACGGGAGAACCTCGGCCTCATTTTTTAGAAGTGTGCAAACCAAATTTTAACTGTTCCTATACAGATTTTAATTACATCGCAAAATTCGAATGCACTGGGGATGCCAGTCTCGTTAAAACTGCAAGGCAGTCTTTTCCATCTTCGGTTGCTGCAAGATCCTCGTTGTCGATGGTATTTCTCAGCATTTATGTCAATTCAAAGTTCAACTGCGAAAGAACACCATATGGTAAATGGCTTCTACAAGCAATATTCTCAATGTCGTCGCTGGTAACGTCCATACAATGTGTTAGTGACAACATGAACCACTGGAGAGACGTTTATTCTGGATTAGCTATGGGAGCAGGTACTGCCACTTTCTTATCTTACTCCCTCAAATGGTTCAGGACTGAAAAATTAGAACCGTAGCGATTTTCTTCTATCGCATTATCAGTGATAAATTCAGCAGCATTCAAATTAAAACTGTGTTATTAAAATAAAAATTTAAATATCAAACTATGCATCACACGATTTTCAGTGGAAGAAATCTCAATATTTAAACTATTATGTAGAGTAACTTCAATACCTTTGTGTTAATTTTTATGTAATTTATAGTTTTAGTTTTTAATTAACCTGATGTATGAAAAATTGAGCACCTATGAAAAAATACATGAGTTAACGTATGTTGTTTTAAAATCAAACGTTGTCTAAACGAGGCAGGATAAAATGGAGATGACATTCAAAATGTTTGAATTTTTTCTTTAAAAACAGGTCTATTTGTATACACATGCAGTACAGTTGTGCTACCGGAGCAAAAATATTTATCTATCTAAAAAAATTGTCCAATGTTTGTAAAGTTGTCTCATATTCAATTAATTAATGTTTTTAAGTTGATATAAGAAAGTCAGTGTCACGACGGAATTCGAATTTTATCTCGACTTAAAAACCTTAATTAATTGAATGTTATTAATTAGTCAAGCGGACCACGAAAAATAGTGAATTTAATTGATTAAAATGAAGTACACTTTTCTAAAGCTGTCCGTGGCCATTTCATTTGTCGCCGAGAATCCAATCCGATTACACGACATTTGAAAAATGGCAAAAAGGAGGGAAAATTCAAAAGGTAGGGTTGAGATGGGAAGTTAGGGCCCGAGGGAATCAACAACAAGCCGAAGGTCGTGGGTTCGAATCCCGCTCATGCCACTGACTTTTTTATCTCAACTTAATAAACTTAATTAATTGAATACTATTAATTGGTCAAGCGGACCTCGAAAAATAGTGAATTGAGTTGTCTTTAGTTATATATATATANTATTTATATATACATTATATATAGTTTTTAAAAATGACATTTATTAAATATAAACTTACAAACTATATTATACATCAATACAACAATTCTATTAAAAAGTTCTTAGTACGGAGTCCCGAGTGGATCTGGATTTATTACTTTGACTCCAGGGATAACGACGATTTTTGTCCTACCACTAATTTAACAAAAATAAACGTTTATCAACAAACTAAACATTAGTCAAGATAAAGAATTGTAGTTGGTAATAAGGCTTTTCCAAGCATAATTTATTCTTCTACATGGAGAAATGGAGTGTTTTAAATTTTAAAAAGTAGTTTTGCGAAAACACGAGTGTTAACTTTTATTGCATATCTTTTACTTCGTCACTTGAGTTAATTTTTCATTCTATTTGTCCTAGCCACGATACAACAACAAAAAGTCAGTGAGAATAATTTAGTGGGGAAATGCCTACAATTCTTTCTTAGTTAAACACCGACCGGTGATGAATCAGTCGCTCGCAAATCCTACAACGAGACAGCACTCTGCTCAAATTTCAGCACCGATTTTCTATGATGACATAGCCCTTGAACGGACACTTCTGACTCAGCCTCGCAATTTAAACAAGTTGCTCTCCGTAAAAGAACATTTTAAGAAAACAACCAGAATCAATCACTAACACCCAAAAATAAAATGATTAAAAAGGACATCACGAAGATAGATAACGATCTGAACGTCGAATGCTCAATCCCTGAAACTACCTCCAATAATTTTAAAGAATATAAACAACTTTACTGATTTTTGCAGTAACATCGCTAGAATCATTGGATCTAATACATTCCATCGCCGCAATCGTGCCAACGACTAACTCACGACAGCTACAGTTACAGGAAGACAATACAATACCTAAACGAGAAACAATACGATTTTCATTGTTTCTAGTTCAAAGAAGACAAATGTTTCAGAATCGTCATACGAAGACTACAACCCATAACGCCAATCGACGAAATAAAGTCTGAAATAACAAAACTAAGATTTGGTGTCAAAAGGGTACACGTAGTACTGCACCCATCACCCGGACCTCCTTACCTCTGTTCTTCGTCGATTTTGTACAGAATAGAAAGAACTCGGAAATTTTTATACTACAAAATCTCATCTACACCAAAATAACTATAGAAGAAAAGAAACATCTCGCAGTGCACAAAATGCCAAAAATATGGCCATACCAGGGCATATTGATACCACCAGCCTAAATGAGACAAGTGTGCAGGACTTCACCTTTCTTCCGACTGCTTCAAACCACCGACCACTTGCGCTTTATGTGGCGGTGCACACACCGCCAACTACCAAGGATGTGCTACCCATAAAGAATTGCAGTGCATATAATGTATAGGCAGAACAACAAAGATCCCTTAGCCGTTCCTGCTCCACTAACCAGGACACCGCCAGCAGCATCCAGGAAAATAACAACCGAACCAAAACCATGAACCAAAAGCGGATACCACTAGACCTCATCTACAGCCCTCGACAGGAAGACCACCAATTATCAGCGAACCGCACTGGGTATTCAATCAGCAGTTCAGCTACGCCAAACTGGCCGGTAGATCTGTCAAACCACACTACCTACCCCCACTCCTGCTACAACTTCCACTGACAATATCATGACCCACCTCAGTTCCTTCTTAAACGACTTTAAATCCTTAATTACCCCACTCATATCCCTTCTTACAACCCTTGTCTCCGAATTACTTCCTAAACTTGCCCGATGATCCCTCCGAGGACCCTCACAGTTCTTGTCTGGAATTCAAATGGTTTACTAAAACACAATACTTTCACATAAACGGATACCCAACTTACAAAATGTCTCTGACAGGACAAAGAGTCCAAGTTGGCACGGCAATCCTAGTCAGAAACACTAATTCCAATCACCCTCACCTCTCTGATAGCACCGACTCCTAACAACACACCTCAATTTCTGTTCCTCTTCCTCAGTTCCCGATCATTTTGGTCAGCAGTTGTTCTGTACTCCCTCAGTCCCCATACATTATCCCCAATTTGATTTGATTTTCCGACAATTAGGTTCTCAATTAATCGCTGGGGCCGACTTCAACGCCAAACATCCTTCATGAGGCAGCAGAACCACAAATTTCCATGGCCGACTCCTAAACAACGTTCTCGCCCCTCTCAATTACACTTACTTATTTCCGGGCCAACCAACCTACTGGCCCACTGATCAAAACCGCAGGCATGACTTGTTGGATTTGTTCGTGTCATCTCGTACAGGTTCCTTCTTTCCCTCCATCCAATCTTTAATCGACCTGTCCTCAGACCACTCTCCTGTGCTCCTCACTCTCAACACAACTCCCATTCATATACCTTCCAGACCTTCTTTAACCAACAACCCAGTAAACTGGAAACTATTTCAACATATCCTTAATAATACCTTAAATCTAAACATTCCGTTTAAAACTAATAACCAAATAGAAAAAGCTGTCAGTCTTCTCACAAGTAAAATCCAACACACCTCTCAGCTCTCGTCGTCTCCTCCATGCCATCAAAAGTTCTCGCCGAATTCCCACCTTCCCAAATATATCCGTACAGTTATAACCTCCAAACGAACAGCAAGTTTGCGATGGCAACGCCATCGTTACCCTTCCGATAAAGTAACATTTAACCGTCTCATTTATGTTTTGAAACTCGAATTATCCAAATACTGTTCATCCCAGTTCCAGTCAAGCCTTGAATCCTATCCCAAGACAAGTCCCTTTGGCTAGCTACTAGGAAGGTTACCAAACACTACCAAGTGCCTTCTCCAATTAGAAGTCCCAACGGTACCTAGGCCAGGTCAAACGCAGAAAATTGTCAGCTACTTTCCGATCACTTTTCCAGTTTTTCCTCCCCATCCCGATATGAAAGTCACTTCACAATCAGATTATATTAATGAATCCTTGACTGTCCTCTCCATCTCGCTCTACCTTCTAAGCCCATCCACCCCGCAGACGTCATGTATCAGATTCTCCGCCTTTCCGAAAGAAAATCCTCCGAAATCTATCCAAAAAAGCAATAGTGTACATTACGTCTACTTACAATGCAATATTTCGCACAACCTATTTCCCCATCCAGTGGAAACTTGCTTTCATAACCCCAATAACAAAACCACACAAATCCCTCAGTGCCCCATCCTCTTATATAAGCCTCCTTCCTAATTTATCCAAAATCTTTCAACGTCTCCTAGTTAAAATACTAATTTTCATATTCGACTCGGAAATCTTAATTCCTTACCTTCTATTTGGGTTTCGACCTCCCCAATCCACTGTTCAGTAGTGCTTTAGAGTAGTCGACACGATATCCTCGGCTCTCGAAAATAAACAATACTGCTCAGCCATATTTCTGGACTTCATGGAAGCATTTGACGGAGTAGGACACCCCGGCCTCTTCTATAAGTTAAAACGTATCCTCCCTCATTCCTACTGTCTTATCGTGAAATCCTTTCTCTCGGATCGATGGCTTAAAGTAAGAATCAGCACCGATCTTTCACCTATCACGCCAATCAAAGCTGGGTTCCACAAGGAAGCATCCTGGGCCCAATCCTCTACGCCATCTGCACTGCTGACATACCCACACATCCAAACACACAACTTACAACCTACGAGGACGATACCTCAATCTTATCAACACACTCCGATCCTATCCTAGCAACAGAAGTATTCCAACAACACCTAAATCTCATTACCGACTTGTGCAATCTTTGGCGAGTCAGGTTTAACGAACAAAAAAGCCAACAAGTTACGTTTCCGCACAAACGTCAAACCTGTCCACCAATACACATTTACAACAAGATAATACCACCATCGAACCAAGTCGGCTACCTTGGGCTTTACTTAGATAGTAGACTTACATGGAACCCATAGACAAGATTAAAACTGTAAGAACAACAAAAGATATGGACTACTTAGACACCTACTTGGATCAAAATCAACACTAAGCATACATAACAAACTAACCGCTTACGCTCATCAGACCTATATAGACCTACGGAGTCGAGCTGTGGGGCTCGGACAAATCATCTAATATCCAACGAGTTCAATCTTTTCAATCTAAAGTTCTCCGCCTCAATGCTCCCTTCTATATCACCAATCAAACGATTCATAAAGATCTTAAAATCCCTTTCGTGAAAGAACACGCTTCTTCACTTTCCACTCTAAACTATCCCTCCACCCTAACCCACTAGCCCTAACTATTTTGTCAACGTTTCACCTTTACAACCCTCCGCGCCGTTTAAAACGACGATAGCCTCGTGACCTTCTATCTAACCACCCAATTAAATAAAAGAGAGTTCCAGCACTCGTTGGTTTCTCTCCGCACTGCCTCCTGGTCTGACAGGTCTGTCAGATTTGTTTATAACTAAACTATTTGCTCAATGTATATTTTGTACAGATAGCAATAAATAAAATAAAATACTTTTTTTAAAAATCTTTATGGAAGTTATACATCAAGCTGACTTTTTTACCTGATTTATTTTTATCAGTCGCGAATAAACGTATTGGTCAGGAATTATTTAATTTAATAACAATTTTTTTCGAAATAAGCATATGATTTATTTGTCATGTTATCTTATAATTAACGCGAGCGATACATTGGTTTTTATTTGTATTAGAATCAAAAAACCACCCCAATGGAAAAAGCGCTTTACTTAAGGTTTGCTGGAGACGCTGCGCTTCTACTGTTGACGATTATTCTGAGTTTCACAGTGAGTTATTTATTAAAGTGTCAACCAAAGGGGATAAATTGTGCTGACATTTCGATTCAAAAGAGGTACAAACCCCCGTTTATATCCGAATTTTATTTAAACTTAGCTTTTGGTTTATTTTCGTTTATTTTTCTGATGGCATGCGAATTATCCACGTTCCCATGGAAGGATACAATAGAACCAAAGAAGATAGCCATAATGAAAACATACACTATTGTGTCAGTTTTTACTTTCGGCATGTTTGCCCAATCAGCGTTTGTGACCTTTCTGCAGATATTTACGGGAGAACCTCGGCCTCATTTTTTATTCGTGTGTAAACCAAATGAATACTGCGCCTTGGTAGATTTTAATTACATCCCAAAATTCACATGCACTGGGGATGCCAGTCTCGTTAAAACTGCAAGGCAGTCTTTTCCATCTTCTGTTGCTGCAAGATCCTCGTTGTCGATGGTATTTCTAAGCATTTACGTCCATTCAAAGTTCAGCTGCGAAAGAACACCCTATGGTAAATGCCTTCTGCAAGCAATATTCACAACGTCCTCGCTGTTAGCGTCCATACAACTTGTTAGTGACAACATGAACCACTGGAGAGACATTTATTCTGGAATAGCAATGGGAACATGTTCTGCCACTTACTTAGCTTACTCCCTCAAATGGTTCAAGACTGAAAAATTAGATGTTAGCGATCTTCTTGTCGAGAGTGATCAGTGATAAATTCAGCAGCATTCACAATAAACTGTATTTACCAAGAAAAAAATTAAATAACAAATTATTTTGTTTAAAAATAGAATACTTTCCAAATTAACACAGCAAACATTTTTTTCAATTGCGGCAATCTAACAAATCTTCGACATCTTAATATGTGGTCGAGTGAAAGTAAATACAATTAATAAACAAAAACAAATACCAACAATATTGTGCATCACATGATTTTCAGAGGAAGAAATCTCAATATTTAAACTATTATGTAAACTTCAAACATTTGTGTTACTTTTTATATAATTTATAGTTTTAGCTTTTAATTCATCAGATGTATGAAAAATTGAGCACCTGTGAAAAAACACGAGTTATGTTATTTTAAAGCAAAACATTGTCTAAACTTGGCAGGGTGAAATGAATATGAAATTCAACATGTTTCTGTTTTTTCTCTAATAAGTAAGCTCTATTTGTATACACATACAGTACAGTTGTGCTATCGGCGCAAAAAAATGTATCTAAAAAAATTGTCTACTGTCTGTCAATTTGTCAACTACCTTTTTTTTTATTTCACTTTATAGAGAAAGGAAATGTGTTTTAGTTTAGTATATATAAGTTATAGTTTCGATGCAAGAAACCGAGTTTTTAAAAATAACATTTATTTAATATAAACTTACAAACTATATTATACATTCAATACAAGAATTCTATTAAAATGTTCATTCTTCGGGGTCCCGAGTGATTTGAAGTAAGAAGAGGGTCTTGATGCTTAGCTTGATTGTTTACATCAGCATTTATTAATTTGACTCCAGGAACAATGACGATGTATTTGTCCTGTGTGATGATAATGATAATGTTTAAGAGATTTAAATTTGAAAAAGTAGTTTTGTGAAAACACGAGTGTTAACTTTTATTACATATCTTTTACTTCGTTTCTTGTGTTAATTTTCATTCTACTTGTATTGTTGAACAATTTTTGCTACAGCACATTCCAACTGGATTTCTGACGGATGGGCATATCTAGGAAGTGAAGGAGGTGGTGCAAGAAGACAATGGCTCGCCCCCGAAATGCCAAGGATCCTTACAAGCGAGGAAAGGTCTGCATTGTGTGACCTATCCGGCGGATTACACCACGCTCAGAAAGTCAGAGATACAAAGTTCAGAAGAGATTAGCGCCGTCACCGCCTGGTGCACATCACTCAATACCTATTTAAAGATATCAATTTGGTTATAGTTCGTTTCCTTTCTTTGAGTTAGGGTTAAAATAAGAAAATATCATATTTCCATTTACCTTAGGCCTTAAAATACTTACTACTATCAGAACTGTCTAGTTTTGTAATATATTCAATGGAAACAATTTAATTCACAAAATATTCATAGTATTTGCTTTTTTGCGATACTATTGCACTTATTTGTATTAAATTTATAGAAAAGCACAACATGGTTTTTTAACCTAATAAATTACTTATTTTGTTTTAAATTTTCTGCAGTTTGATGATTGAAAACTAAATGCTTTGTTCAGTTTATTGTGTCTATTTTAATTTTCTTTTGTCACAATCAAATGTTCTACGCTTCCTTAGCGTGGTCGTGGTTTAGTAATCTTTGGTATGGAATAAAGTAAAATTAATTAATTATTTGTGTTAAGCAATGCCTGATCTGGGCGACCGGCTAATGAAATGTTACTACTTATAATTCGGCATACTCAACACTAAAAAAAATTGTCTACTAAAAATGTATTCTCCTTAATGTGGAGTTATTTTTAATATCTAATGTACATAAATAATACATATTATTGCTTTAGGAATCATGGTTTTGTAATTAGGTTTATTAATTGTGATATAATTACATATTTACAACAGTGCTGGGAGTCATATAGAAGGACGTGTACCGAAATAACATGAAATTTTATTACAAGTAGAGTTCAACAATTGTTCTAAGAGGATAGGATAGGATTACAATTATCACTTATTATCAATAATAACAACAAAAGTCTAGCAAAACAGCATAAAAATAGCACTCGATAGATCTGGTGACCTCTTCCTTTTCATGTGACAAGGGTGGAGGGTTTTGAGTAATCTGTCTCAATATCTGATTTGGGTGACATTCCATGCTACTTTTTATTTGTATGTAAGACCCTTTTATGACACTTATGATACCAAGATAACTATTTCGGAATGAACGTTTCTGAGTGATTTAGATGCATAGCATAGCAAGCTCCGATACGCTACGTCTGTATAGCATACTGCAGTTGACTTAGTTTATTCTCCGTCCACATCGTTCAGAAATCGGTGAAGATTGTCTTAAGCTATTTTTGGGTTCAGGTTTACGACGCATAAACATCGTCTGCGATTAGCGCCACACTGCCGCGACCAGGAAATCGCCTGTGTATGTCAAGTATAGAAGGGTCGCAGTATACCCCCCTGAAGTACCGCGGACGAGTTCACTATGGATATTGGGCTTGCATGAGAACACCTCACTTAAATGTGCAGGGTACTAGGTACAAACGCACCAATCTCACCAATAAGATAGCTTCATCTAAAGTAATCCACATTGGATTTTTCAAAAGCGTAGCTTAATATAAACCTTCGCTTTTGGAATTATTTACAAAAATAAAAAGTACAAATAAAATGAAATAGTAGTCAAAGTCGAATAGTACATATCGGGTTTTTTACACATATATTAAAATTACATTTTATCCTACTGCACAGAAATTTGTAAATATTACGCATTTTTTATATAAATCACAAATTTAAGATTAAAAAATAAAGATTGAAAGAAGATTATTTTATAACATCCGGAATCTCTTCAACCCATCTGGATATTTCAAATTCATTTGATTTTTCTTCTGATCATAGCCCAGTTCAATTAATTCTAAATTCTGCCCCTTCCATTGTACCAAATCATCCTTGCCTAATAACTGGACCTACAGATTGGAAAAATTTCCAAACAATAATAAACAAAAATGTTAACCTACACACATCTCTAAAAACTGCAGAAGAAATTGACAAAGCTGTAAACGATTTTACAAAATTAATACAGCATGCAGCATGGGTGTCAACCTCCATACCACCACCTCGAAATAATCAGCAGTTATTATTACCTTCACACACTCGGCTACTTCTAACTGAAAAGCGAAGGGCCAGGGCAATCTGGCAGCGTAACAGATATCCGAGTGATCATCGACGGATGAACCAACTCGCGAGAAAGCTGAAACAAGAACTGGCCAAACTTAGGGCTGAAATGTACAAACAATATACTACTTCGCTTTCCAAAACAGACATGTCTTTGTGGTACTGTACCCGTAAGATCCTGCGATATATGGACCACACGCCTCCTATACGTAGTAACAACGCTTGGGAAAAATCCAATTCCGACATTGCTAAATTGTTTTCAGAGCATCTTTCCACAGTTTTTACTGCACCATGACATACTTGATCATGACCATCAGCTTGACATTGAACACGACTTGAATGTCCCCTTGCAACTCTCTTATCCTCTTAAAGCATTTACTCCATCAGACATACGACACACTATTAAACAACTTCACGAAAAGCTCCAGGTTATGATCTAATTACAAAACAAATATTACAAAATTTGCCCCACAGAGGCTTACTATACTTAACATACTTATACAACGCTGTACTCAGGACCACATATTTTCCATTGCAATGGAAGTTCTCTATAATTAAAATGATTCATAAGCCAAATAAACCTTCTGTTCTTCCAAATTCCTATCGACCCATTAGTCTCCTTTCTATCCTTGTCAAAATACTAGAAAAACTACTTCTCCGACGATTACTGCCAATAATTGAAAATTCTAATATTATTCCAGATAATCAGTTTGGGTTCCGCACATTTCACTCGACAACTCATCAATTACATCGTGTTGCTGACAATATAGCCTCTTCCCTCGAACAAAAACAGCATTGCTTGGGTGTCTTTCTTGATTTGGAACAGGCCTTCGATCGAGTCTGGCACTCGGGCTTGCTTTGGAAACTGAGGAACATCCTCCGTCATACGTACTATCTTATACTGAGATCTTATCTGACGGATCGATTTTGTCGAGTCCGTCAGGGAACTGAATTCTCACCTTATATACGCATGAGGGCGGGTGTTCCTCAGGGAAGCATACTTGACCCTTTTCTATTTTCCATATACACACACATTCTCTGATGATACAGCGATTCTTACACGCAATTCGGACCCCTCAATTAACACTCAACACTTACAACAACACCTGAATGAATTAACAATAGGTTCACAAAGTGGAGAATAAAGGTAAACCTAACAAAAAGCACACAGATCAATTTTACCTTACGTAAAAATGTCTTTCCTGCGGTGAATATAAATGGAATTCCATTGCCTACAACTGACCTTGTGCGTTATCTTGGACTTTTCATGGATAAACGACTGACTTGGAATCCCCATACAAGACTGAAAAGACAGCAAACAAACCGACGTTATAAATTGTTAAAAAGACTACTCGACTCACGATCAAAATTAGACCTTGAAAATAAACTTTTAATTTACAAGACAATGATTAGACCTCTCTGGGCGTACGGTTGTGAAGTGTGGGGCTCAACCAAGGATTCCAATTCCCAGCGTCTCCAATCAATCCAATCTAAAATTCTCCGTCAAATTATAAATGCTCCTTTTTACGTTTCAAATTACACTATCCATAAAGACCTACACATCCCGTTTGTACACGAACTCATCAAACCTCGATATAAAAAATTTCATCAATCACTGAACACACACAGTCTATTCGTACGAAATTTATCACTTCCAACCCTACCTGAAAATCCTCCAAGACGATTGAAGCGAAAGTGGCCCCAAGACCTTCTCATTGTGTGAAGACTGAACAAGATATCAGTGTGAAGGAGTGTTACCACTGGGGAACTTCTCCTACAAGAACCTCAAATGATAATTCAACATATTTACTTAATACATCACTTGTAGTTGTAAATACCAAATAAATTTAATTAAAAAAAAGAAAGAAGAAATATTGTATACAATAGCCTAGCCTATAGTATTGCAAAATTGTTAGATTTCTATCATAAATGGACTATAATATCAAAATTAGTTGCTATCAATAGGAAATATTTTCAGAAAACTAGAACAAAAACGTTTAATTTTTAATTTTACATGTTTGGAAGCAAGAATCATTAAAGTCAAAACTTCCAGGATAACAAAGTAAATTTAATTTATTTCATATACTTTCTTTAGTATTTAAATTACCAATTTAATCATTTTCAATGGAGACTTGAGAACAAGAAATGAGAAAAAGACCTGCAAGTGAATTTTGTTGGTTTGGAATTTCTCACGGGCG